TCCCCATCACTACTAAAAAGAAAAACTGTTCTATTCTACACCCAGTCTAAGCATTTATCACTTTTAAAGTAGAGCTAAAAATTGGAAGAAAATCCTTCTTCACTGCTAAGTCAGGTATGATACTCTTCCAGCTCTCTATCAGTTTTAAGTGGTTTCTGCTTTCTGATTACCAATGACTTCCCCTTCCCCCATATTCTCACCCAAAAATTTAAGGATCAATCAAAGAACAATTATCAAAGAATCAAAGCTTCAGGATCAGAGTACAGGCAGTTGAGAGTGTGTATATTGGAATCTGTCACCAATATTCATAAAGAATCATGGTCCAAAAGAAGTGGCTTCACAAAAAGGTTAATACAGTACACACAAAATGATAAAAATCTGTGTATGTTTTTAAAATTGAAGGTATCTGAAACAACATTTGGTATAACTCTTTCTCTACTTGTCTTATTTTGGGGGATGGGAGGGTTAGGGTTAGGGTTTCTCTGTGTAGCCCTTGTCCTGAAACTAGCTCTGTAGACCAGGCTATCCTCAAACTCAGAGATCCACCTTCCTCATCCTCCTGACTGTTGGGATTAAAAGCGTGTGCCACCACCACCTGACCCTACTTGTCTTCTTAAAAACACATTATCAGATGTTGATACCAAAGAAAATATGACTCAGACTTAGCAAATCACTTGGCAAAAGAGTGCATAGACCCTCACATACAAAGCTGTGATAATGTGATGAGAATGGCAATGAGAAGGGAAGCATTCCTTTTGTATCTACAGAGGTATCTACATCATTTAGAAAATATACTGCAAAAGATATCAGTACTCATCTCTCCACTGACTTAAGAATTTAAAACATACCCAATTTGACTTCAACATCTGGCTTTATCAGTAATATGGACATTATTAAACTGATAAAGCCTCACCAAGGTATCATATCTTTTTGCCATCCCCCACTTCTTTTAATGATCTTGAAGCACTTCCAATAGTGACATGATAAACATTCTTCACTAGGATTAAAAAAAGTCTAGTCTTTTAACTCATCAACCTACCTGTAAAAACAATCAAAGCAGCAACAAAACATACTGACAAATGCTTACAAAAACACTTTTTAATAATCAAAAACTCAGAATCAGTGTAAAGCTCCATTAGAAGAGTATACTATACAGTTCTTTTTTTTTTCCTCTCTCTCTCTTTGAGACAGAGTTTCTCTATGTAGCCTTGGTTGTCCTGATCTTGCTCTGTGGATCAAGCTGGCCTCAAACTCAGATCTTCCTGCCTCTGCCTCCAAAGTGCTAGGATTAAAGATGTGCACCACCATTGCGAGGCAAGGATGCAGTTCTTGAAGCAAAATTACTTTGAGATTTCATATTATACGCATCAGAATGGCTAAGATCAATAAAATAAATGATAGCTCATGCTGGTGAGGATACAGATTAAGGGGAACACTCATCCATTGCTAGTGGGAATGCAAACTTAAACAGCCATTATGGAATCAGTGCAGCGGTTCCTGGGGAAGATGGGAAATGACCTACCGAAAGATCCATCTATATATATACCACTCTTGGGCTTATACCCAAAGGATGCTTCATCCTACCACAGAGACTCTTGCTCAACCATGTTTATTACTGCTCTATTCATAACTGCCAGAAATTGGAAACAATTTAGATGTCCCTCAACAGAAGAATGGATAAAAAAAAAAAAAAAGAAAGAAAAAGGTGGCACATTTACACAATGGAGTATTATTCAGCTATTAAAATAAATTAACCATGAAATTTGCAGGATGGAACTAGAAAAAAAAAATCATTCTTAGTGAGGTAACTCAGACACAGAAAGACAACTATGGTATGTATTCACCTATATGTGCATATTGGCTGTTAAATCAATGATAGCCAAACTACTATCCACAGAACCACACAAGTTAGGTAGAGTGTAAGGGACTGGTGGAAACACTAAATCTCATTAAGAAAGGGAAATGGAATGATAGCTATGGATAGATGGGTGGACTGGAACAGGAGAATAAAGTGGGTAAGGAAGAAGAGGATGGGGGGATGGAAAGAGACAGCTAAAATTAAGGGCCATTTGAGGAGTAGTATGTAAACCTAATACTGTAGAAGCTTCCTAAAATATATACATATATGAAGGCAAGGTAAATGAAATAGTCAAAAAATGGGGAAGACAGCCCCAACTGACCATCTCTTGTCACCAAATGAAGCTTCCAGTACCAAGATGGTATTACATCTGAGATGTTGGTGAAAAGGGGTCCAATAGGAATCTCCAAACAACCCAGGCTGTTGCCAAGACTCTATGTTGCTCTCCACAAAGTGATAGTAAGGCCCCATTGCTGAAGACAACACCTACACAATTCACTAGACATGGAGAAGTCAGCTGGTACCTCTAAGAGTCTTCACTCCTATATTCTAGCATCTTTGGTACCAGAAGGTACTATGCACTCTACCAAAAGAGAAATGTAAACACCAAGCCAGCTACTAACAGTTTGATCTACAATGGTGTCCTGCCTGCAATAAATGCTACTACAATGATGGCACAAAGCTTGTGGAAGTAACCAACCAATATCTGATTTGACTTAAAGGTCCAATCCATTCGATTGAACCCATACCCAACACTGCTTGGGTGACCATGAGTCTGAGACTAGATAGCCCAGAGACCTAGGGTAAAACCAAATACTACTGTCCTTGACTCCTAATGATATTCTGCTATACTCATGTGTCAGTACCTTGCTCAGCCATCATCAGAGATGCTTCCTTCTGCAGAAGGAAAGAAATACAGAGACCCACAGACAAACATGCAGAGTGGGAGACCTTGGAACACTCAGCTCTAAACAGAATGTCTCCACCAAATCCTTCCCTTCAAGGATCAGGAAACCTCAGGGCTGAGGAGATAGAAAGAGTGTAAGAGCCAGAGGAGATGGATACAAGCAAGAAAACAAGGGCCTCTAAATCAACATGACGGATCCACATAAACTCAGAGGCAGCACACACAGGTCTACACCAGGTCCTCTACATATATATTGTGACTTTCAGTTTAGTGTTTTTATGGGACTCCCAAGTGTGCAAGTGGGTCTGTTTCTTGTGCCTTTTCTTGGCCTCTTTTCCTTCTACTTATTTGTTCTTGTCCAATTCCAGTGTATTGGTTTTCGTTTTACCATAGTATATTATATTATTATTCCTTTAGAAGCGTGATTGTTTTCTACTGAGACAGAAGGGAGTGGATCTGGATGGGAGGGGAAGTAGGTAAGAACTGGGAGGAGTGGAAAGAAGAAAACCATAATCAGAACATAGTATGTGAGGAAAAAAAATCCATTTTTAATAAAAGGAAAAGTTTTTAAAAAGGAAAAACATTAAAGGAATTGTATATCCTGCAGTATCAACTATCTTGACAAGATTTAATTATTTTATAAAAATGAACAAGCATATCTATCTCATTAGTGTACAAAAAAGAGTGTGCTAAATTCTTGAAATTATGAAGCTATGATTAAGAATTTTAAAAAAACTTCCTAATCTAAAAAACGGGTTATAGAACAAGATATAAAATAAAACTGCATACACACATCAGCACAAAATTTGGAAGGATTGTCTGAGTACTAGGATTTTTTTTTTTTAAAGATTTTACATTTGCTCTGAAAAACCTCCAAAAGAAATCTCAATGCTATTGAATCATTTTCATAAGACCCTTTTAGGAAAAAAAAAAATAATGTTATAAACATGCTCAGAAACGATACAGTGCCCCACAGCATGGTTTGCCTTCTGTCACAGCACATACTCTGCTTCATACTATAGTTATTCTCACAGAAGTGTGCTAATACACATTTTTCAAGAATATTCACATCAGGATTATTTATCCTAGCCCAGTCCTAGATCAACTCATTATATACATTCAATGAAAAATTATATCAAACAAGAATGAGCCAGACATGTTTGTTGAAATCAAATGACGTTATGAGTAAAGAGTAAGATGCACTTGTGTGCACACAGACACACAAACACCCACACCAAACATTGGATCACAAGCACTTGCACACACACACACACACACACACACACACACACACACACACACACACCCTTCTGTGTGCCAGCAAAAGCAAAGCAAGGAGGGAGGGGTGCAGCCTATCTCTAGGATTGTGGTCTTCTACAGACGTTGGGAATGCAGGGGTAGTAAGACATTTTTCACTGTAAGCAATGCAAGCCAATATATGATGTTTGAAAAATTCTTCACCTGATTTATGCTACTGTTAAATCTTAACAGCTACTGCTGTGCAGATTTACTTAAGATCTTCAGGTTATCAAACTCTGCAGAGAAAGTCTCTTTTAAAGGCCTGAAGAATTTCTAACCCACCGATGTGAAAGTTATACTTATCTGCAAACCTAAGCTCTTCCTGACAAAGGTCCTTAAATTGTTACTAACAAATCCACAGTAGTCCTGGTTTAGCTTTTTCAGCCCTGTGCAGGTCTTTAGAATCCATTTTCTGTCTTACTGCATTTAATACATGTTCTACATAAAAGGATTTTCTATTGGCCACAAATAAGTGGAATGGAGAACAGATATCCCTTTCAGATTTAATCCTTTCAAGGCAGTGTGGTCTAGCCTTCTATGACGGAGTAACAAATAAATGTCCACCTAGAATAAATAAGATGGTGACTTACTACTCCAAAGTGATTCTAAAAAAAAAAGTTCAAGAACAATATATTGAATTTCACTTTACTTCCAAATGGATCAAATTATAAGCCAGAAAGGTTCAGTTCACTTGCCACTAATACGCTCTGTAATCTTAGGGAAGACAGAGAAAATGCTGTTTAACATAGTGTCTGGAATTGTCTGTCACATTTGCTTAATGCACTATCAACTAACAGAGTCAAGTAAATACTGGAAAGGTTACCTAATAAACACAGTTTATTAGGCCTACTCAGCAACGTTGCTAAAAATTGTTATCAAACTTCCTGAAAATAAGAGGCAAGTCACTTAAAAGAAAAAAAAAAAAGCTGAACTCACCTTTAACACTTTTTCTATTAACATCTGCCCCCTTTTCAAGTAAATACTGAGCAATCTCTTTGTGTCCTTTGTAGCATGAAATCATCAAGCATGTATGCCCATGTCGGTTGGACACCTCCAAATCGGCTTTGTGTTCTACAAGGTACTTCACAATTTCCAAATGGCCATCGAAGCACGCAGCTCGAAGAGGAGTTGAATTGGTTAAAGTCGTGTTGTTGACAGACGCTCCGTGATTTAACAAAGACTGGACAACCTTCAGATGCCCTGCTGCAGAAGCGGCCCATAAAGGGGGGGCCCCCTCGATGGTTTCCCCATCGAAATTGACAGAGCCCCCGACTTCTATGGAAGCACTGCACTGCTCTAGAAGGAACTCCACCATGTCGAGGTGACTTTTCCTAGCAGCCATCAAGAGTGGTGTGGCCCCATTTGTTTTTTCCGAGATCAAGGAGGAAACCTCCTCTTTAGATTTGCTAGCCAGCAACTTGGTGAGGAGCCGGAGTTTGCCATCGCGCGCTGCGTTAAACACGGCTGTCTTTAGATCCATTTA